TGATCTTTAATCATTTTACCACTCCTGGTTTTTTTTTTTCCTATACCCTAGCAATATACATGTGTACACACATACACCACGTCACACTCACATAGGGGTCAGTTTGTTTTCCTGAAACTAACTGCATTTTAAAAATGGGGACAAAAGTGAATGAAACAAGCTAAGATATTTTTAAAAATCAAGAACTTATTCACAATGTTCTAAAGTTTTACTAGGTACTATTTGGAAACTTGTACTTACTCTCCTCATTCACAGGATTACATTTCTATAATGGGTAATAGAAGAAAATTTAAAGACTTTCAGAAAAAGGCGTGCTTTACTTATTTAACTGTCATTTTGTTCACAAAATATCAAGATAATTCATTAAAACTGCTATCAGTGAGACAGTACTATCATTTGCTATCATTAACAGCAAAATGGCTTCTTAGCCTAAATTTATAAGGCATTAAGACTTTGTCCTTCACTTGTTTGAGTTAATGCCTCATCGCCCAACACACTATCAGAGACCACCTTCTGAAAGCCCATCTCTCTGCTCATCACCAAATCAACAATATCTTCTTGGCCCTCTTTCTTTTAAACTTCCTAGTCATGATTTGCACTGATGATCATGCCTCCCTGAAATGCTCTTCCTTAGGGCCTGTGATGCGGGGATCTTCCTTCTTTTCAAAATCTCTGGTTCTTTCATAATCCCTCCTGCTTTTTAAATGGAGACATTCTTTTAGGTTTTGGGGGTGGATTGATTTGGCTTGGTTTAATTTGGTTTGGTTTGTCCTGATAGGGTGGAATGGAATATATATACATTTTGTTTTGTTTGTTTTGTTTTGCTTTTAGCCTTGTTTTAGTTACTTTTCTCTCATTGCTGAGAAAAAATACCTGATACCCAAAATTAGGGAAGGAAAATTTTATTTCTTATAGTTCTTGGAGGTTTTAGTCCATACTCAGCTGGCTGCAAGGCAGGGCAGCATGGCTGGGGGCAGCCATTCATGGCTACTGCAAATAGCAAGGGGACACCCAGCAAGAGAGAAGCCCCACCTTCTTCCCTGCCATTACACAAGTGTAAGGGCTAGTGTAGCATTCATACCATCAATCCCAGTGCCAGACAGCAAACCACTCAGGAACACCAGACTTAGCCCCATCCATGATTACATGAGTCTTAAGCGGGGGCCATCCTAGTACACTATATCAAACCTCAACCTTTTTTCTCTCAGTAATCTTTTGGTAATGCCACCTGTCACTGCCCCTAGGTCCATCATCAGCTATGCTACTTTCTTAATTGGTTCTTTTAATATCTAATCTCGTGGAAGAGCTCAATTTCGGAAAGTCCTACCAGCATTTCATACTCAATAGTTTCAAATGTATTCATTGTTTTGTTTACTAAACAAGCTCCTTTTAATAATTTTACTGCCTTTAGTTAATGGTGTCTTTTGCTTCCTAGTCAATTCTTTAACCTAGTTTATTTTTCTTTCTAGCCACTTGATAAGAAATGTGGCTCCTTGTACCCCATCCTTTGGTTTTGGTTCATTTCATCTCCTCCATTTTCACCAGTGAAAATTTTCCCTACATGCATGCAGCTGCATGTGAACTATCCTCACCCTCTGATTTTTCATTTCTTGTGAGATCTAGTACTGTGCCTCTTACAGAGTAAGAATTCAACAAATGTTTATTAAAAGACTTAAATAAGGCAATAAATCTTTAAGCTTTCAGCAAGAAAGAAATTGTCTGCATAAAAGTCACAGAAAAGAAATCATAGAGTTTTCAAAAGCCTGGATCTTAAACTGAGAAGGAAGGTCTTAAGATGCTAGATTTAAAATTAAAAGTGAATTATATTAACACTTTGGAACCTATTTTCTGACAGAGGAGATAAAAATCTAACAAATGAATATTTTAGCATTTTGGAAAAGAACATGCCAGATTTTTAATATTTCAAAACTTATTAAAATTCTGATGAAATATCATTATTTAGGAAGTTTACAACTATGGGTAGCCCCAACTCCTGAGGTATGATTTTAAAATCTGGTGGTAATCAGTTCTTTAAATGGGATACATTCCTTCACCATTCTGTTTCTCAAGTAGATTGAGTATGATACCTAGATAATTTCAGTTATTTAGGTGTCATTTGAAAACAGTTGCCTTTTGCAGCAAGTAAGATATGAAAAACATTATCAAATGTAAGTGGTCACTTATCACAGGTTAGTGATTTTTTTAAAAATTTCCATGCAAAACTGGTCAGTGGGAGTCTTTCCTACCAAAACAGCTTCCAGAAAACATAAAAGGTTGTCTCTTATATATCGCTTTAGAAATGATTGTAAGTTAAAGACCCCAAAGAGACATGTCTTTAAAGCTTTAAAACAGATATTAGCAGACAAAAGACATTTTAAATGAATAATTAAAAAATAAAATCTTAGAATATTTTATTCTGGACTCATTCTCTTCATTTACCAAAGGGTTTTTTTGTTTTGTTTTGTTTTGGTTTTTTAATGACATACATTTTCACGTAAACAATGCATAGAACAAAAATACTATTTGCCCATCATGAGGCTGAAAATCACTTTTCAAAAATAGCAAATTAACTTCAAAAAAGGGTTTTTGTTTGGCATGGTGGCTGTTGTAGTCAGGGGTTGTGAGGAGAGCAATAAAATCAGCATATAGATTTTTATCATATTATTTATGATGGTCACCCAGAGTTAAACACAAGGAAGTGCAGGCCACAACACTAAAGACCTAGAATATTCAGCCAAGGGTCTGAATCCCACAGCAATGTCCTGCAGGAGTCTAGATGAAGGCCTAGATCCCACGACAATGCCTCCCACAAGTCCAACTGGAGGTTTAGAGGCCACAAGAAGGACTCACACAAGTTTGTTTTATGGATCTGCACTGGGAAGGCCCAAAGGTCAGCAGTGGAAGCTAGAAAGTCTATGCCAGTGAAGTGGAGGAGCTATGCTGGTTAGGTTGAGGGTTCTGCAGTGGAGGCAAGAAGACATTCTCACAACAAAGACCAGGGCTGTCCTGAAAAGCACCACAGCCATCCCCAGCAACACGGAGGTTCTGAGCTCTTCCGATGATAGGAACAGTTGAGTACATGCCAGGATGCCAGTGTGACGAATTTCTTCTGGAGATTAAATAGCACACGTCTGACCCTCCAGAGACAAGAAGCGATACTCAATGTAAGGACCCCAGCCCCCCCTAAAGTGAACCACAGCCACTCTCACCAACAAGGTCCCGAGCTCTGCTGATGACAGTGGTCAAACTTACACTGGGGAAGCTAGTCGTGATGAGCTCCTCCAGAAGAGCCAATGGCTCAAACAGCAACACTTAGAGAATCCAACACCGCCTTGCTCTTTTTCTCGTCTATATTTATGCTGGCAACTTTCCTCAGGTGGAATATCTACGCTCAGCACCATGCTGATTTAATTCAGCTGGTGTTAAGTTGACCACTAGTTTGTAATCCATAACAATGGGACATACTTGTAACCCTAACACTTGAAGGCTGAGGCAAGAGAATCACATGGAGTTTGAAGCCATCCTGAGTCTGCACTACAAAGTGAGATTCTGTCTCAAAAACTCAGAAGAAGGAGGCAAGGAGGAGGAGGTGGGAAAAGAGAAAAAGAAAATGGTGATTTATTTTTTTTAATTGTGCATATTTGTTACAAAAACAAATAAGCAAATTACATCAGTCTTTCTAATACACTGATCAGAAGAGTAAAGATAATATGCCAAGAACTTGAAACTCTATAAAACCCTTCAAACCCAAGCATTAGAGCAAAAAGTACCTTGTTGTTATTTGCCTCATTGCTTTATTTGAAACCTGAAAATCAATTTTTCTATGTTTGGTGTTATAAGGAATCAAAAAATAAATTAGGTATGATGTGAACCCTATGATGTGAACAATTTGAAACAATAGATTTAAATTTGAGAATTGATAGATGATATGAAACTTTTGTCAGCTATTAAACATATTTTTAAATCCCTGTTGATGGAAGATGCAGATTCCAATGCTTTCTCCAGTAGAGTTAATGAGGTAAATGAAAAATATCTCATTAATTTTGTGAGCCCCCTTGTGAGGCAAGAAAATGACTTTCTCATCTAACAGCTGGAAAGACTGAAGAAATAGAGGATGTAACTGTGCTCAATTGCAAAGGAAAAGGAAAAAAACAGATCTAATGTACTCTAAGATGTGGATATGAATGTTTCATACACAAACCCTCTCTCTTATTCTTAAGGAATCAATATCTACTTCTTAAAACATAAGGCTGGTTAAACCCTTGGATCTTAGCCCTATACCTTTTGGCAGAGTAAATTATTGCCTCATGATCTGGCAGCCTTTTAATTTATTTTTAAATAGCTTTTTCCTCATAATCCATACAATCTAACATCTGGCTAATAATGTGTTTTTAGCAAACTTATTTGCGTCGCTTATTTGTAGATTTTTTTAAGTGTAAAAATTCAGTATATAATAGATCTTTGTAAAGTACATTGGAGCACTCATTGGAAAGTTAAGAAAAGAATAAATTGATTTGTAGCTGCATAAAAACGAATTTGCCATTTCACATAGAAGCTGAAATCATTATACAGTTTGGAGTTTTTCTAAATTCATTTGTTTTTCAAGGTATTTATTTATATGAAAATGTCCTCAAGTTATTTTCAGTATTGCTTGCTACCTGATTGATCTTTCTAGGTTAAGAGAATGCAAAGTTAAATGCTTTATGTATATTAGGATTTTTTCTCTTTCTTGCTGTTTTAACAAATTATTCTCCATTTTTAACGGCAAAGAAAACCCAAAATCAAATCAGGGAAATTAAATATCAGTTCAGTATAAGTAACATTGGGCTTTGTGTAAGGACTGTGACATCATGACAGTGAAGTATTCATTTTTGAGCTTTAACAGAGAAAGCTTTACCTTGACGTGTCCAATAGAAACACAATATGTAAATTAACCTATATTATCTGTATGCTGATTGGCTTGAGTTCCCCCGAATGTCACAATCTCACCACCCAGCAATGAGGCGTTTTACTGCCGTCTCGAGCTCAAATTATTACTGTAAAGAAGATTTTTATTTTTTTCTATTTCATTAACCGACTATTGTAAAGCTGTAAGGCTGAAATGAAGGAAAAGAAGCATTTTACATTGGAGATTAATGAAAGCATGCCTGTTCGCTTTTGAGGGTGGGAAGTGGGTGGTGGTTATTGAAAATCTTGTACCACCTTCACAAGACTAAACTTTGGAATGGTAAAATGAGAAAATGCATCATTCTAGAGACATCTTTAAGCACTCAGGTGTCAGGCTACGTGATGTTTGTGATACCATCGGACTTTTTGGACGGGTGTAAGTCTTATGTATTCGTTCTATTCTTGTCCCCCCCCCCCTTCTTTCTTTCTTCTATAATAACAAAATCTAGGGAAAACGAAACTCATACATACAACTGCTTTGACATCACCAACCTATTGGTCAGACGAACTCGGAAAAAGGGAAGAAGAAAGGCTGTTACTAGTTGGGGTGGAATGAGAGGAATGGCCACTTGAATCTTTTGTACCGTCTCTGTAGTCGTATCCGCTAGGCTAGAATGAATGTAAATCATGTGTGCAGCTGTCCTCTGAACTTATCTTCTCCCTACTTAAGCGCAGATTCGCGTGCACTGGAGAACAGATGATGACTAACAAAGACAGAGCTGCCCTAACCTGCTTCCCTTCTCTACCACTGACAAGATTTTATACCTTTTTCTTTTCTCTTCCCCTCCCCCAGCTAACCTGCAAATTCAAAGGTCAGCAGGGGAAATCATTAAAGAAGAATTCTGAAGGGAGCTTCCCACGCTTTGGACGATCCTAAAAGAGAAAGGAAGATGGTGTTCCGGGAAGGCGAGGGTTCCGGGAAGCCGAGGAGGGGGCGGGCGATCGGGGCTCCGGGGCTGCTCCGTGCGCGGCCCTAGGGGAAGAGGACGGGCCTGAGGTCTCCACCGAGCCTTTCCAAGCCCCGGTTTCAAATGCGGAGAGGGAAAAGTTCAGAAGCAGCCACAGGGGACAAAAGCCTGATTCGGCCAGTTACTCTGGCCAGGGCATCCAACCGACCCAACCAGCTCTGGAGACAGAAAGGGGTTCCTGCTGGCTCCGAGAAGGCCGAAGCAGCCCTCGCCGCCGCCCTCGCCACCGCGCCGCCGCCGCCGCTGCCCCTGCGTTACTGGGGGAGACTGTGCCGCTGCGACAGGGGAGGACGCGGCTGGAGCTCAAGGAGGCTCCAGCGCGCAGGCGCCGCCGAGCCCTGCCTTGGATGCTCAGTCAAGGCACTAAGGAAAAAAAAAATCAGCAATTTATAGAAAGAAGAAGCTGTAGTCTGTCGGGATATCCAACGCCAACAGGTAGGAGAATGTACTCTCGGTTAAGTTTGGGGGAGGGGGTTTGCACAGTGTGGATGAAACTGCAGGTTCGCCGGGAGACTGCCCTCCCTGAGGTGGTGGTTTGTGGTGGGTTTTTTTTTTTTTGACCATAAACTGCATAATGGAAGCACATTCAGACAATGCATCTTCAGCAAGGCTTATTGAGAGCTCCGTTTCTGGAAAGCCTTGCAAGACTGAGGAATACCAGACTGCGAATCATCGGGAACCCTTCCCTTGCAGCACAGAAGCGATCTCTCTCCATCTTCGCGTATGTAATGCATGTCTCTCTCTCCCCCTCCCCCTCTCCACCCCCATTATAAATCCAGGGGTGGCGGATTTCAGGTTTCGTAATGTTGCATGATGCGATCGGTATTTACCCGGGGATGTACCGGTGGGGAAATTAAAATCGTCAAACGAACGCAGTTTTGCCTGGGCTTCCATCAGCATATTAGCAGCAAGTGAAAAGTGGCAAAGGAAACGCGCTTCTTTCCCCTGGTGTGGCTCTCAGGCATCTAGGAGACAAGGTGCATTTCGTTTAAAATGAAGCCACTTGTGATTTGCAACAGAGATTACCAGTGAAAATGAGAAAGGCTTAATTGCCAAAGAAATACAGGTTCATGTTATATTCATTTGCATCCAGGCAGCCACGGTTTACAAATGGAAGTGCATTATTCCTCTGGGTGTGTTTCCTTGACCAGTATTTACATTAACCGGTTTTAACAATCATGTGGGCTTAACAGAGGGAAGATTTGCCAAAAATGGGGGTGGGGTGGGGAAGGAAAGACAAAAGATTAAATCTTATCAAATCTTGGGACTAGTTCTTATTAATTTCGAAGTCTAATGTGGAGATTGTGTTTCAAGATGAATCAACAAATACTCATATGCAGCATGAACAGTGGCACTTGAGTTAAAAGACATATTTTGCAGGGGTTCTTTGGATCCGTATGAACAGAGAAGCTGTCTGTAAAGCACTGACAATACTAACAGACCTCACATGAATGTAGGTAGCTTCCTCTCTATCTCCTATCAGCAATCTTGTAGATTCCTTTGCAATACTAGTGATTAATTCTTGGGCTGGCCCATTTTTCAACTGTGAAACATTTTATTCATTCTCTTCAAAAGGTACCCAATCAAATGTATGTTCTCTAGAACAGGGACATTTTTTAACTCATCTAGCTTAGAAGACCAGTTCTCTGAAATCTCAAGCAAAAATACTAAAGCAAGTAATAGGATTCAAAATTAAAACTTTATTTGTTTTCCCCTAAGTGAACAGCTTTATGTTAGCACTGACATCATTGCTTGTTAACTTAAGAACTGATAGCTCATTTTTTTTTCCAGATATTTGGATGGCAAATCAAATGGAAGAAAAGAGGAAGCATGACTGCAGATCAAATCAGTTCTCTTTGTGGATTACATTTTCAGTAAAATGTATGGATCTATCTTTTCCTTGTTCTTATATCTAGATCATGAGACTTAACTGAGGCTGTATCCTTATCCTCCATCCATCTATGGCGAACTATAGCCATGCAGCTGACAACATTTTGCAAAATCTTTCGCCTCTAACAGCCTTTCTGAAACTGACTTCCTTGGGTTTCATAATAGGAGTCAGCGTGGTGGGCAACCTTCTGATCTCCATTTTGCTAGTGAAAGATAAGACCTTGCATAGAGCACCTTACTACTTCCTGCTGGATCTTTGCTGTTCAGATATCCTCAGATCTGCAATTTGTTTTCCATTTGTATTCAACTCTGTCAAAAATGGCTCTACTTGGACTTATGGGACTCTGACTTGCAAAGTGATTGCCTTTCTGGGGGTTTTGTCCTGTTTCCACACTGCTTTCATGCTCTTCTGCATCAGTGTCACCAGATACTTAGCTATCGCCCATCACCGCTTCTATACAAAGAGACTGACCTTTTGGACGTGTCTGGCTGTGATCTGCATGGTGTGGACTCTGTCTGTGGCCATGGCTTTCCCCCCGGTTTTAGATGTGGGCACTTACTCATTCATTAGGGAGGAGGATCAGTGCACCTTCCAACACCGCTCCTTCAGGGCTAATGATTCCTTAGGATTTATGCTGCTCCTTGCTCTCATCCTCCTAGCCACACAGCTTGTCTACCTCAAGCTGATATTTTTTGTCCATGATCGAAGGAAAATGAAGCCAGTCCAGTTTGTAGCAGCAGTCAGCCAGAACTGGACTTTTCATGGCCCTGGAGCCAGTGGCCAGGCAGCTGCCAATTGGTTAGCAGGATTTGGAAGGGGTCCCACACCACCCACCTTGCTGGGCATCAGGCAAAATGCAAACACCACAGGCAGAAGAAGGCTGTTGGTCTTAGATGAGTTCAAAATGGAGAAAAGAATCAGCAGAATGTTCTATATAATGACTTTTCTCTTTCTAACCTTATGGGGCCCCTACCTGGTGGCCTGTTACTGGAGAGTTTTTGCAAGAGGGCCTGTAGTACCAGGGGGATTTCTAACGGCCGCTGTCTGGATGAGTTTTGCCCAAGCAGGAATCAATCCTTTTGTCTGCATTTTCTCCAACAGGGAGCTGAGGCGCTGTTTCAGCACAACCCTTCTTTACTGCAGAAAATCCAGGTTACCAAGGGAACCTTACTGTGTTATATGAGGGAGCATCTGTAAATCTTTAGCCTTGTGAAACACTAACCTTCTCTGCTAAGCAATTGTGGCCTGTAGCCATATTTTGAGAAGAAATTCAAGAATGGGATCAGCAGTTATAAGGATTTGGGCAACATTCTGCAGTCTTTGCAATAGTTCACCTATAATCCTATTTTAAATCTCAGAGTGATCCTGCTGACTGCCGGCGAAGGTTTGTAATTAAGAAAGGACTGAACCACTGCCCTAAGTTTCTTTCTGTGGTTGAAAACTAGATACCGAAAGTAGCGGGTGCTAAGTATCAGTGCTAAATGCTGTGTATATCACTACTTATGAAAAAACATCAAAAAAATTAGCATTGGACATCTTAATAAATTAAGTTGCCATGAGGTAAATGTGTTGATAAAAACTAATTTTAGAAGTTTGAAGACTTTAAAACATTTCATACTATTTTTGTTTTGCAAAGACTAAACTATTTGGGGACTTAAAAGTACTGTAATCCACTAAAGACGTGCCATGAATTATTGGAATATCACTTTAAAAATCGCCTTGTAAGTTTGGGGGAGCATTCCAAAGCAGTATATATTGGTTCCAATTAGAGTTTACTTTTTTGTATCAATACATTGCTATTTCTAAATACCACTTTTCCTTAACTACCAGTGAAATTGCTAGCATTGAACTGTATTCTGTGGTTTTGTTGATTCAGTATAAAGGTTTTCCAATTCATTTATATTTTACAAATGCTAGATATTGGTCTGGGAGGCAACATTAATGGTACCAGCTGGTCACAACTGAGCAGTTCTAATAATGCAGAATAAACACATGTTGCCTTAAAGGGTTATCTAGTATCCTTCATCTTATTTAGCATTGGAGCAAATAGTCAAGGGACATCAAATCAGTCATGGTCATTCATCTGGAAGTGCATGGAAGATCATTTAGTACTCTTTTTCCTTTTTCTTCACATGATTTGAAAATTAAGGTGCACATCACTGGAATAAGGAGATTTTCTTCTGAGATGTGCTGCCCATCCTAGTGTTCTGAGAAGCTGGCAGCTGAAGTATGTTTATATTTTAGTCAGCTGTCAAGAGGAGACCACAGCCTTAGTATGACATCCTGCACAATTTGTGAAGCGTTTATTCTATGGAAGGCACAGTCTTGTTTATATTTTCTGCACATTTAGTGTATTGGTCGTTTAAATTATTTGAGTTTTAACTTGTGAAAGCTTATAATATGATTTCAGGTATTTTAGAAATACATTAGATTCTGTGAGTCTCATTCTTTAAGATACAGATGTGTGAACTTCAATATAAAGTTGCATTTGCCAAAATTTATTCGTGTAGCCTGTTAATTTTCTTGGAATAAATTTTACATTTTGGCATATAAGAATCATTTTTTTTTAATCTGGGAGGCAAGCACAAATTAGGAAAACTTGCTTTATTGCAATTTTGTTTTTTTATTTTTTTTATTTTTACACTTACTGAATTCTGGAATTAGAAATGTATGAATGATAATGAGCACTGACATAATATTATCTAAAAAAGCATTACTGGTAGCTTTTCATAATCATCCCTTTATTCTTACGTGCAAGGTTTTATTTAAAAATATATACTTGCTTCATAGGTTGGTTCAGAATTTTAATATAATTATCACACTTTAATTTGTGCATAACTTGTAAGACAAATGTTTTACCATACCATGAAAAAAAGAAAGGAAGTTTTTGTTTGCTTTTCATTGATTTATTTATGGGGCTTTTGTATTTGAAAAACGAATTTAGGGGTCTAGTGGAACAGAATTTCTTATTGCTGTAGTACTGCTATAAACAGAATATCAGTATTTTAAAAACCCCAAAATAACCAAAATGTTTTAAGGACATTTGAAATTAGTTAGTTTTGCTTATATAAGGACAGCTGAAGCCATGATTTAGTAAGTACTCTGGGCTCATTTTTAGTCCACCAAAGTTGATTGGATATGAGACAAAGTTTAATGAACAGCAGTGAGTTTCTTCTTGCAATAAGGGCTCCTCATTGGTACTAAAACCATTATCTAAAACACAATAAAGAAGATGCTATTAAGAGATATTCTGATAGCATTATGTTTCCAACAAGAAAAAATGTCTAGAGAAAAGTTATAATTACAATCATTATCCTGAGGGCCAATTTTGCTTACAAGTTCAGATATCACCAGCAATCAATAAAAAATTCAGCAATAACTCGGGGGCAAAAGATAACAGGTTTTACCAATATTCATTTCCATTTTATAGAAAAGAATAACGAAGTGCAGGTTCAGACTAGAAGCCTGAGGAATCAGAGCAGGAACCAAGTGAGGCTGCATGTCTCCACCTCGCTATATAGAGCAGCAGATTTAGTTTGGATTGAGTGACGAGGCTCAGTGACCACTGAATACAGCTGAACTGTAGTTACCATCACGTAAGCCTGCTCTTGAACAACTTGGCATTTGCAGGTTAAGGGGAAGCAGTGGATGACACACATCCCCAGTTCATGCTATTTATAAGTCACTCAGTAATAGTGGCAATCATACAACATAAAAGTTCTTTATGTTGTATGAAAGTGTCTTTATGACCAAATCACATTGTCTATTTTGATATCCATTCCAATACTCAATATTTAAAAACAGTTAATAACTAATTCAACTTGTTTCATGTTACTGCTCTTCAACCCATAAAAATGCAATCCCACTGAGGAATCCAACTTTGTTGTAAGACTCATTACCAGTAATAATGTGTCTCTTTTGGACTATTTACATATAGGGGCTTAACAATCTTAAATTGTTTTCCACCATAGTGGATGTGTTTGCATGAATGCATCTTTACCATCTCATCTGGTCTCTTTTATGTACAACACATTTATTTTCAAGTTATTGGGCAGTGACTGTGCATTTATTCTGCAAATGTAAAATCTCATGCAGATGTTATCTAACTCAAAAGGAGGTGAATAACTTTCCTGGTTTCTCACCCAGGCCCCATTTAAACAGCACAAAATCGTTATGATTAGATGAAAAACATTGTTTGCAGATAGGACAATCTATTGACTGAACTGTCTTCTTTAGATTTTTGCATGACTAGATTTGAACACCAGCATTTTCCCCATAAACTTTAACTGATTTGTCATTGTTGACCTATGGATATGACCACTTACCTATTTACCTCTATTCCCACAAAGCCTAGCTGAATATTTAACTCATTTATTCATGCATTCAAAAAATACCTGCTGGGTCCTGGGCTTGGTGCTGTGGGCACAGTAAAAATTTACCAAATCAGACATGGAGATTTCTCAATCTAGTGGAAAAGAAATGATACATATGTAATAAAGTGAGTTGTAAGTGTTAAGGTAGTAAACATTCCTAAGATACAATAGGTATTTTTTGATGCAATAAGTATTAATGGCCATAAATTGGCTGCTTCCCATTTTCACTTCAGTGCCTTATCGTTTATGTTTGCTCAGTGTTCCTTGAGATTTCCTATCTATTATAATCCCTCAATTCAGAGGGAAGCCCCATTCTACTCTAAGTATCAGGACCATTTCTCCCACACTTAGATGAATCACCATGCTGTGCTTTGGAACCAATTCCTGTGTTGTTAATTCTATATATAAAATCACAGCAAAAATCTAAATGCCAAATCCCCCGCCCCATCTCGTGTCACTTCCACAAGAGAGATTTCAGTTCCTTCAAGAGCCTGGAGGTGAGTCTTTCCTGCTGTACTTGTGCTTTCCTCCATACTAGCGTGGGATTGCCTGAGTAAAGTGCAGTCTAATGAAGGACTTGTTTGTTTTATTTTAGGACTCTCAGGGGACTACTGCTGGTGTACAACAATGATGGGATAATACATGAAACTGGGCATTTATTTTTATTATGAAGGCATGCTACCCCTTCATAAATTTTTATTGTTCCTTATCAGGGATATAACATATCCCTAGTCTGCTGAAAAGTTGATCCCTAAACTGAACTCTGTTGCGAACACAATAAAACATATAACCATATAGACACAGCTTTTCAGCTAAGCCATATAATAGTGAGTTGTGTTGCAACTGGGATTACTGCAGGACAGATACAAAACCATAAGTCTTCACTTCCAGTGTGTTCCTTGTGTAGCATAGACTGTGTGTTGTTAAAAACACATGCACCCAAAACCCCACCTTAACAGAAAAGAGCTAAGATGATAAATGTTCATGTTTCAAATACTAGCTAAAGATATTAATCAAGATAGATAGTTACCAGATTTATGGATTATTTATGATTCCCAAATCTTGTTTGTTTTTCTGTGCAAAAAATACTTCCATGTCTGTTAATATTCTCTTATAAATGTTTTGAATGAATATTGCAGATAACTGTTTGTTGCTGAATATTTTTGTTCTTATTCCCAACAATGGGTATGTCAGTATTTTGCGACATTCCCAACCCTCAGAAACTTTATTTATGCCACATTAAAATAATAGAATTCCTGAATAATAGTCTTCGTAGTGGTTATAATGAAGATATTGTTGTACATAGCTGAATTACTTTTTTGCCAGCAGTCAAAACAGTCAAATAAGTTAAGGCCATTTTGGAAACTGGAGCAGTGTAGAGAAGCTTGGAGGATAGAGGACGAGTAACTCAGCCCTGTGCTGCAGTGTCACAGGCTCTAAAAGTGCAAGGCTTTAACTTACAAAAATGTTATATAAAGAGATGATTTTTGAAATGGGGAAGGAACTTTTACATTTTTTTTTTCAAAAAATTTATGTCCATTAGCTTCTCAAACCCTCTGGGTTAAAAGGCTTTTAAAGCCAGTTTTTCTCTCACTACACTAGGAGAGTTGATAAGAGTAGTGAAAGCTACAGGACCCCAGAAGAAAGCCAGCAAATGTGTTTCCTGCTAAGTCTTGGTAGAAAAAGGACTGCACATACCACAGGTGGTTTGCAGCTTGGAACTTTCCATACCTGGCACTCACAGCCAATACCCAGCTCCTTCTGGTGCCGCAGGACTCATCTTCAGAAAGACAGTGTCAACATTGGCCTTACAGGCAGATGCAGTGTTTTCTCTCTATCTGAATTTAACAAATAAGTTCTTACCACAAATATTAAAGCTGATACTGTAATGCATACCTCGGTTTATTAAGTTTTGAATAGATGATAAAGTGTTGTAACATTTAACACAGGTGGGTATTCAAGCTCATGAGATGGGAAAGCAAATCATTTATTATATACATAGAAGTTGACTGTAGTGTGAAAAATGCAGAAACTGAATTGATACTTGAGCTTGAACTCCTTAAAGTTAGTTACTTATTTTCATAACTTTAAGAAACAAAAAACTGACTAAATAGGTATAAGAGAAATCTGTTCTTTTCTTCTCTCTCCAAAAACATGGTGAAAGTTCATTTTCTACAGCAAGAAGAATAATTTTAGGGTATGTCTAAAAATCACTTTTATTTAGATGTATTTAATTCAACAGTCACTTACTTTGCACCTATTGCATGTTCTAGAAAATGAACCCCTCTGTGCCTCATAATAAAAAAAGAGAAGGCAATACTATATGCCAGTGGTGGTGAATCTTTTAGAGCTGTCATTGATAACGAACAGCTGGTGTATGCATGCCTTAGGCTCACCACCCCTGGTATATACCTGTATTCTAAAGTTATTGAGAAGATTTATTGATTGAGTCCGTCCTTGTGGTGCCCTTAACAGAGAGTCTGGCATCTCAAATATACTTCAGGCTCTACTGTAATAAAGTTCACATCTAGCAGTAGAGTTGTAAACACATTATGAGACAATGTGATAAGTGCAGTAAAGGAGATATGTGAGGTAAGTGTGAAGAGAACACAGACAAGCAATTAACTCTGTGAAGGTGGGAGGAGGAAGGTGAGATAGGAAGGGTGGCGACTGAACTAAGTCTTGAAGGATGATTTTAATTTTACGTGCTTGACAAAGTTAGGAAAAACATTTCAGGTAGAAAGAATATCAAGATGAGCATAAAACAAAACCATTTGAAAGCTCCCCATGTGTTCATTGCAAGGCTCCATTAGTCAGAGAATTGTGGAGGTGTTGGAGAGTGAATGCAGGAAGGTGAGAGCTAGCATGATACAGTTGTTAAAAAGCATAAAATTTGAAGGTTTAAGTCCTTATTATAATGCACTCTATTAGCTCAATGGTCTTGACCAAGACAATATGACTCTGAAACTCAACTTCCTTATCTATACATTGGGGGATAAGAAGTAGCAATAAGATTTGGAGATTAAAAGAGATAATAAATAGTAACTATTAAGTGCTCACTATGTACCAAGCACTACTCTAAACTGTTTTCATATATTAACTCATTTATTAACACAAACAGGTG